AACTGGACACAGAGCCACCGCTCTGTCCAGCTCCACGCCATCACGGCTCTGCGCCACTCCGCGGGGCCCAGGGCAGTCGCCCCAATTTGCCCCCACCTAACGATGGCCCTGCTTATGGCAGAGGTCTGCAACTAAGTTCTTGCTTCAGGTCTCCCGCATCACACAGATTTTGACCTCATGTCACTGAATATTCCAGTTTATTCTCTCATCCCAGGTATTTATTTGCACCATTACAACAATACTAGACTACAGCATGTCAGAGCAGAGATAACAAAATTAACACTGTAGCACTAATCACAGCAACAAAACACCTCTCTGCATGAATTAGAGAAATCCTGGTCTACACTTATGCCAACTTTGCAATTTTCCTCCAGTCACTTGGCAAGATTTTAATAAGAGCATTGGCACTGAGTGTGTTGGAGCCCGAGGGCCCTGGCCCTCCTTGGGAACAGGGCTGTCAGGGCCCAAACCTGAGGAAAATTACATAATATTTCTATATTATTTTATGTCATAAAAAATGGATTCAGTTATGTTGAGTACACTAGATGTAAGGTGATGTGTTTAGGAACAATGACTGAGGCCCTGAGCTATTACCAGGGATCCAGGTTTTCCATTTACTGAAGAAAAATGCAGATTTTATCCTTTAAAAAAGAAAGATACGGGAAACCATGGGTCTCCCCTTGCAGGCTGGCAGACTCCAAGCCTGCAAGGGGTGCTTGGGGCTGAGGGGAGTGGGCAGGGCAACTGGAGGCAGGGGGCACCACGTGCATGTGCCAGCCAAGCAGCAGTGGAGAGCAGCTCCCTCCAGCTAAGTCTGAGAGCAGGTGGGGAGGGGGCAAAGGCAATGCATTGTGGATGCAGGGGAACCCAGGTGATGCAGCAGGGGGGCATGTGCCCCCAAGATTTCTGCACCCACAGTGGGTCACAGCACACAGGGCTACAGCCATAGCCACCGTGGGGCATGACAGTGGCATGGAGTTGTGCCCCCACTGCTGCCAGGTAGGCAGGAGGTGCCTCACCTTGGTGGCCATGGCAGTGTGGCACTCCCTTTTGCACTAGCTCCTGCCTGAAGCTGGTCCAGCCCAGCTGCAGCCCCACACCCTGCTGTGAGTGCAGAAATCTCAGAGGGCATATGCTCTGCCACCCCCCCCCCA